CTTCCAAGACTGATGTCCTTGGAATTTGCCTTTATCATTCTGTCGGTGTTTGTTGCCATTCCCTTTCTCAGCTGACTGATTAGCAAAGTCTCTGTCACCCCGCTTCTCACCTTTGGCCTGTCCGAAGTCCACGGTTAACTAATACTACTATAGAGCAGCGTCTACCACCTGAGCATAAGTAGAATAGGCTAGACTACCTGTAATAGCTCTCCTGATAGACCACATCAGTCCCTTAATGAAATTATTTCACTTCTTCTCCTTTGTATCCACCTCCTCCAGAGCAAAAAGAGTGAAGCGCGTGAATTGCTGCTCATACTCTGCCACTGTCAGGTTCCTCTACTGTAAATTAAGAAACTCAGTCTTCATAGCTGCCCTGACTGCATAAGGAAAGTACTTCTCATCAAAGCGAGTACTGAACTAATCATAAGTCAATAACATCCTCTCATCTGCGGTGGTAACTGACTCCCACCACTGTAGTGCATCCCCAACCAGCTTGAAGGTAACAAGTATTTGCTTCTGAACCTCCGTGCACTGAACTAGGTGAAGATGTCACTCGATATCCTTTTTCCACTAATGAGCTGCTTTTACATCGGTGGAGCCTGAAAAATTACGTGGGCTCCCCTTTGTAAAAGAACTCCTAGCCTTCTCCCAAGTATCAGTCTGAACAACCGGTGCTGGTATAGGTGCCGGCTGTACCTGAGGCTGATTCTGAAGTGCAGCCGTTACCCCTGCTTCTATAGCCCAATCAATGAGGTCGTTGATGTGAGGAGGATACTTTAGATCTCTTCCCTGATCCTGAGTCTGCTAAACTTCCTCCTGCTCCTCCCGAAACTGACCATCCTCATACTAAAACCCAGGCATTTGCTGCTCTTCCTCCATTCGCTGACCCTGCAGGCGTTCCTGTTGCCTACGTGCCACTCTCCTCTGTCGACTGTTCATCTGTCCTCTTCTAGCGTTAACCATGCCGTTAACATAGAAAGATAGACATCAGTACGAGGTTAAACAGATCGTAAAGGAATATAATGAATCCTAAACTTAAGCTCTAATCAAGAGAAAACACTAAGCGGAAGTCTTAATATGAAACATCCTAAAGACACTTGAACCTGGAGTGCTCTGATAAGAACTGTGATACCTCTGGACTCTGAGACTGAGTTGATCAGGCCCAGGCCCAAACCCGAGGGAATATCAAACAATTAATATTTTAAAACAAACACATAATATAAAAATGAAAGAATTAAATAACAAAGCTGAAAGAATTATTAAATATAAATCCTCCAATTGATAATGAAAAATAATAATCTGATTCTCCAAAACCTCCAAAAGTACAACTTGGGAATCCATCTAGTGGACCCCTGAACAAAAGTCCCAACTGAACTGAATAACTGAAAATAAATCAAACTAGAACATAGAGAGCAATCCTACGTTAGCAGATGAATGAAAGACAGTCCCCCATAAGCACGATCAAGCTCTAAAGCTAGAAACATCCTGTACCTGAAAGGAATAAAAGAGTGGGTTAGGCCCATGAAAAAGTTCTAATCTAACTACAATCCATACAGTGACCCGATACGTAGATACACCCTAGATACCTCACAATATCTATCTAGTCCATACAGATATATATCCATACTAAGGGACATTCATTGGACTATAATAGGAGTCTTAACCTGAATAGAAGGCAACACGCGAAAACGCACCCGAAGGTGGGCATGAGTACCTAGACCTAACAGGGTACACCTCAACCTATCATAGCCAGCTACGCATCCACTACATATACGCACCCTAAGCAATGAGCCTGAGACTCAAGCTTATCTTGTGGTACCATAACCATATATTTAAAGTCCGTCCAAAACCAGAGTATGTCATTCAATTATTCATTAAGCTGACATACAACATACAATCCAGTTAGTCACTCAACTTATTCAGTTGATATGACTTAACTACAACCAACTAATCCACGAGGTCATTCAACTTAGTCAGTTGATCTAACTTAAACACAAATAGGATTCAATATTTTACAATCCATTCCTTTAATCTGATAGGTCAGGTCTTAGTGTTTTGAGCTAAATCATCCCTAGTATGCCACTGTCCCATACCGGCGCATACAATCCTCCACATCCATGCAAATTATACAACATAAATAATAGTTCATCAATTTACAATCCAAAACCATGATCCAGATAATTGCAGAATAGTGTTTAAATATTTCAGCAATTAAAATTCCAGCGTTAATCATGTAATTGCAGAAAAGAATTTAATATTTCAACAATTAACATCCAGAGCATGCATAGATCAAATCTAACAAATAAATGACCCTATCATGCATTCAATATAAGATTTATAATCATACTATATCCCATTAAATTGCTAAAATTAAATTAAGCAATTAATTTCCTTCCTTCCGTTAACAGCATACACAGTTGTATATTTTTTACTGTTTCATCCTTTAGCATAGAGACAAAAACTATGCAATAAGAGGTTTTAATAACAGTTGAAATTAGAATTAAGAACCCCATTGAAATTAGAATTAAGAACCCCAGTATACTCACAACATAGTTCAGAAAAAATTAAAATCATCTAAACGATGCCTAGAAAAATCTAGAAAACATCATCATGAGAAATCCTGCTCTTAAACTTGTAGAGCAAGCTCGAAACAACAATGGAGCAGGCTCCAAAACTTCTTGGAGCCGGCTCTAGAGGGGTGGAGCTGGCTCTACATCCTCTAGAGCTGGCTCTACTCTTAGGGGGAGCCAGCTCCCTCTTCCTTAGAGCCGGCTCTCTCCCTCTCTAAGAGCCTGAACCTCCTCCGGCCTTCTGCTTCGTCTCCATCCGCTTCCACCTCTTCTGTTCTTGGTAAAATCTGAACCTAAGGGTCTAAATTTCATCTTATATCATCCTAGTAATTTATTTAATATAGTTTGCATTAAAAAGAACCATACAAACTATTACCGATTTAACATGCTTGCGATTAAACACTGAGATACAATTTCAACAACAGATTCCAGTCAAAACTAAACACATACCGGCTAATATTCTAACATGTATTAAACATGCAAAATATATTTAATGTCCAATTAAAGTCCTAGAGATCATTTAGGTGTGCACAGAACACAAGCCAACGGGAGAGAGAAAGAAAAGAACTTGCCTGTGATTTCAGTTATGAAATCCTGGCATCGTCTCTAAATTTTTGGCAACCACTAAATACCTTCAAGCCTTCTATGGTTTTGGTTTAATCCACAACAACACTCCCTTGGTCCTCTCTGTTTTTCTCCTTGATAACCATTACGGTGCCTCCGTTCTCTCAACCCTCTGTTTTATGTGAATAGAACTGTGTTTATGTTTGTAAAACCCTAAACCACCGTAATATTATATTTATAGGCTTAGAACATTAAAACCCTAATCCACGTATAATTTGAGACAGAGCCCTAATGTAAATCCTAGTCGGCCACAACGTGCATTCTAAACGAAAATAAACCCTACTGTTTAACACTATTACTATTACTAATTTAATCTAATTACACAAATTAAATCCAATAAAATATTTAACTAAACTAAGTTACACATTAAAATTAATAACACTAAAGTAATCCAATCAAAGAAAATACAAAAGACACTTAAATCAAACAATTCAATTAAAGAAAACAAGAAATCAATTAATGCAATTTAAATACATAATTAAACTACTAAATCAAATAAATAATTAAAACCATTAAACAATTAAACAAATAAGCAAATAGTCACACAAAAATGCAATATAAAAATAATTAAAATCCCGAGACTATCCTTTTAAAATTAGGGGTATTACACTTTTTGAGACTAATCAATTCACATTGAAGCTTTCTCAATCAATGAGGTCCAAAATGATTGATGATCTGGGTTTATCAACGTACTCGTAATCATTTGAAAAAGATATATATCTAGATATATATTAAAATAGACCACATACAAGTTCTATTACTCGATCTACTTAAACCTATCAAAAAAGTTAGAAAACTAGTAGAATCTGGGACATGAGTTTGGCTAGAGTTGTAGAATTCTAGGAATGCAGCCAAGATGAACCCATGAGGAGTTCACCTTTAGTGGATCTGCCAATCAAATATTTATGCAAAGGTTTTTCTAAGCAATCATATAATATAATCATGGTCAATCTTCTTGGACTGCAGCCAAGATGAACCCACGAGGAGTTCAACTTTAGTGGATCTACCAATCAAATATTTATGCAAAGTCTTTTCTAAGTAATCGCATAATATGATCATGGTGAGTCCACCTTTATGGAAGACATAGTATCTTTATGCATTTACTGATTTGATTGTTGTAAATTGTAATGATTTCATTCAGGGCATCCAAAGTTTGGAATTTGATGGTTGATGAAGGGTTTTGAGACACTTGAGATAATGATGGAGACCCTTTTCAAGAAGCAGTGAAGCCTTTTTAATCAATAAGGACAAAATTGTGATCAATTGGATGTGTAAAAAAGCAAGGTCTGGCAATCTCGTTTGGTGTTCGAAGAAATGCATAAGAGAGGGATTGAAGCTGATAATTTGACATTGGAGTTGTTTTGATGTAATTTGTATGAGTATGTCGGAACAACAGCCTATAGTTGTAGGGTCGCTCTTGAGCTCAAACTTAAAGATTGGCACCAATTCCATTTTCAAATTCCTAACCTAATTTTTATGGTCTATTATATTATTATCCTATCCTACTAAACGTCTTATGTTATGAGTGGCGAACTTAAAAATAAAAATAGCAGTCTCAAATTGATAAAATAAATAAAAAATCTATTTAGTAATAATACTTAGGGATTTCATTCTATGAGGCGCAAATCAATAATAACAACCAACATAATCTCCATACCAGGCCATATATATTTATAGCCCAACCCATTAACAATATAAAAAACTTGGAATTCAAATATTGTGCAGGGGCCGCAAACGCAGGCCCCCACTACCACAAATTATGACGTACCTATTAACACTATAAAAAACTTTAAATTCAAATATTGGGCAGGGGCCGCGTGGACGCAGGCCCCACTACCACAAATTATGACGTAGGCTCCACTACTTGAGTAGACCTTAGGCGGGCACCCCTCCTCAATGTAATGGAGGTCACCAACCTAGACCATGGACTTTATCGATCGCCCATAGAAACCGTCCAGGTAAGTATGTTGAAACTTGTGCTTTCAACTCATTATATAAGCTTGTCTACATAACTTCAATTTATGTTTTTTTGATGTGGGACAGCAGAAGCAACTACACATAAATGCAAATTTAAACAATACATTGAAAATTCACAAAGAGTGGGATACAACAACGCATATGCACCGCCCAGCACAACAAAACATTACACCAAACCCCAAGATAGATACAGACAGACCTTTTACCCTTCACGAGCTATAAGCCTTCTTTCTTTTTGTTCTTGTCAAGTACTAGTATGGTAGTATATTATAAAAGGTAAATGCATATCTGATCTTTGTTAGCAATTAGGACATAAATAAATACCAGTCTTGAAGAGTTTGAAAATAAGGAACAAATGTAAAGGAAATCCAACAATTTTCGATTCTGTGTTTGGATAGGTATAGGATGAAGGATAAATAATTTTGACAGAGTGAAATCTTTGTTACGAAGCTCCTCGACCAAGTGTGCCATGTTTGAAAAAGATACCTTTGTTATGCAAAGTTTACTTAATTTAGGACGTGGTCCTTGTATAATTGATTGAATTAAGTGTGTCAAGTCTTTTAACATGTTTTCAAATCAATAGAATAAATGTTCATATTTTGTTGAATTAATTTTGTTAGATTTAAGGTGACTATACTTGTTGTGGGACACTAGTAGTATTTTTATTATTATTATTTTTTTTGGCATTTTGTTCTGTTTTCCTCCCTGGTTGGTTTAATTCCAATGTTTGTGTGTTTATAAATGTTTCTCATTTTCTCTCACTAGACTATTACATATTCATCCATTAGTGTTTACTTATTAGAAACAAATTGTTGAAGAATAAAAAAATAAAATAAAAATAAATAAATAAAGATCCACCGCATTCATGGAATGCAATGAGAATAACAATACTTCATAGGTCTCATCTGACTCGATTTAAGACAAGGACGATCACAACTAAGAGCATTCGGTGTGGATCACATACATACTCTATCTACTTTTATAAAAGTAGAATGTCGTATCAACATTATTTAATAAATTAAAAATGCTGATATGGTATTCTATTTTTTTTTTTTTTTTGGGCAAGTGCATGCAATGGTGTGGTACATTTACCTCATTATCTATTTTATTATTATTTGTTTGAGCCGTGTAAATTACAAATGAATATAGCTATTGTGAGGGAAAGAGAAAAATGATCTAAAAGCACTACAGAAAGGTTTAAATACTAGTTTATAAAACATTTATATATTATCTATAGCATTATCCAAATGTGGAATTATCACCGGTGGGGACCACTGATTTGAAACTTCACTTTTTACCTATACCATCTCCTCATTTCTCTACTTTATGAAAATGTACTCCATTTTCTGATTTGATAACTCGTTTTAGGAATTTTGTAGCCATTACCAAAAAAATTTCCCAAAACCCCTTTATTTCATTATAAAACAATTCTTTCCCATTTTTTTTTTCTCTTTGCCCAATGTTATGCATGAATGTCTCATATATCTCAATGTTGTGCAAATAAAGAAATTCATGCTCATTAAATTAGTATTCAACAATATACATTCTTTGCAACAAAAAATTCTAAAATTTATATTTCATGTTTTCTAATCACAAACTTAGCACTAAAGGCACAAAGGGCTTGAATAAATTAATAATTAAACATGTTTCATCATCAGGTATATCAAGCAACACATAGTCACAACTTTGGCACAACATATACTTATAACATAGCATGAAATTTCTACAAATCAAGCATGCTAATTACCAATTAAGAAGAGTAATTCATAAAAAAAATGCCCAAGAACATGTGAATTAGAACCCCTACCTCACTTAGATGCAAAAATCCCCAAAGTGAGCCAAAAAATCGAAATCCTTAGAGTGCACCAAAATTGAAATTGCTTACACCCACTTGAAGATCTCGCCGAGCTCTTCGATTTGCCGCAAACGGCACCTAAAAACTCTCAACGGTTGAAGATTAATCAAGATTTTAAGCTTTGGATGAAAAAGAAAAAATACGTGAGAGACAGAGAGATGGAAGAACTGACGGTTTGGGTCATTACATAATTGAATTAATGGTCGGTCCCACAAGAAAAAGAAAATAAATATCTCATTTCGGCAGTGCATCTTTTTGCTTCCTCCATCAGATGCTACAGTATATACATATATCAATATATATATATATATATATAATGCAACATAACCTAATCCAATAAACTGAAACATAAATCTTCAATTGGGTAAGTCTCCAATTAATTAATAAACTTCAAAAAAATGAAAAATGACGAAAATAAGAAACATTACACTTTTTCAATCAATGAGGACCAAAGGGATTAATGATTTTGGTTTGTAATCAATTGGATGTGTAAAAAAAGTAAGCTTGAGCAAGCTCATTTGGTGTTCGAAGAAATGCATAAGAGAGGGATTGAAGCTAATAATTTGACGTTGGCGTCGCTAATTTTTGGGCTACTGACAAATCCTAGAGGTAGAGAGGCTTATAAGACTGCGGAAGGGATTGAGAAAAAAGATATAAGTGTGTATTTCATGGATTGATCAACGGGCTTTTGAAGTTGAGAAGGGCAAGTGAAGCAACGAATCAAAAAAAAAAGGGAAGGGCAAGTGAAGCAACAGCAAGTGTCATTACACACTACAGCTTCAGATTCAACAATTATAATTTCCACACTCTGCATAATCCCAAAGTCAAAACTACTCTACTTGTTGAAACATAAAGGTTACATTCATGTTTATTTCTTTGCAGATTAAGGGATAAATATTGATTGCAATTTGTAACACTATGCAAAATGTAGATTGTTTATTTAACTGCACTTTGAATTTCTTGCTTTGATGGAGTTCATACATTTGATGGCAATGCAAGCCACTTCGTAAACCTCAACAAGAAATATGATGATTTGGGGTTACATCAAGTATAAAAATCTGTATCTATCTATCTATACTATTTATAAAAGTGATAAAGTGTATAGAATTTTGATTTTTTCCATACATTTTTTACTTTCTTTTTTCTTTTTAATCAAAATATAGAATTTGAAAAGGCCACACTCAATGTCCTTTCCAATACAAAATTTACATTCCCACTTAATTTTTAAAAGATAACATACCTTTTCACTTCTTTTTAATTCATAGCCCAAAACTGCAGCAAGTCGAACCATCTCTCAATCTGTCTCACTTTCAAACTAGACACAAACCTTACTCGTCATGACAAGGTCATTTTGGAGGCACCCAAGAGATCCTGTACACGGATTCAATCACACATTAGTGAAACTGAGAGGATCTGTTGGGGTTTTGGCTGTAGATTGAAGGTCGAACCAAGGAGGAAGGAAGAAGGTTGTTTGTGGGTTGAACCAGGAGTAGTAGACGGCAGTTAAGGAGTCGTTGGAGATATTAGAGAAGATGGTTTAAGGTTTCAAAACTGAAACCAAAGGCAAGTTCTATTTCTTGCTCTTTTCCTTTGACCTGTGTTCTGTGCATGCCTAGATAACTTCCAGGATTAAATCGAGCTTTAAAGACTGTTATTGTATGCATGTTAATTCAGAATTTAAACTGTTTTATGTGTTGATTTAATTGAAATTGAATTGTCATATAAATTGTTTCGTATTCTGTTTAAAATCTTGTAACGATGTGTACTGAGTTTGCATGTTATTCTGGAGGTTATGGGACATAGTTAGACCTCTAGGAACTTAAACTAAAGATTTCAGAGGGATGTTAACATCATCGAAGACAAAGACAATGACAGGAAGTAGGGACAGAGCCGGCTCCCAAGGGGATGGAGCTGGCTCCCTATTTTTCTTTACCCAGGGCTCTCTGTGAGAGAGAAAGCCGGCTCCATGGTGAAGGGAGCCAGCTCCCTAAGGCATAGAGCCGGCTCCAAGGGTAGGGGAGCCGGCTCTCTTTGTGTGGGAGCTTGCTCTCCGCTTTTGAGAGCAAGCTTTCTTGCTTAAATGTGTACTTGAGGTGGTTTCTGAGCACTGTTTAGATGATTAGGGTTCCCGAACTGTTATGGGTTAATATGGAGGGTTCTAAATATTATTTCATGTTATATTAAAACTCCATTGCATAATTTATATCTATATGTTAATGAATTCAACAGTATGAAAGTTTAAACAATTTTGCATGTTGTTATCGAATATAAAGGATTTAATTGCTTCACTTTAATTTAGCAATTTAAAGGACTGTGACATGATTCTTAAATCTTGTAATGAATGCAGAATATGATCATATACATATCAAATTTTTATTATGCTTACTCTGGACTATGATTGATGAACTGTTTATTTCTGTTTCTATCAATTATATAGATTTTGGTGGATTATATACACCGGTATGGGACGGTGGCATATTAGGTACGGATTAGATCAAAATGCTAATTCCTACCTATATTGGATTTTAATTAATGAACTGCTTATTCTATTTTATCAATTATTGTATTTTTTGTGGATTATATGCACCAGTATGGGACAGTGGCACATTAGGTACGTATTAGATCAAAAAGCTAACTCCTACCTATTTTGAAATAGGGAATGGATTAACTTTAAAGGTTAAGTCCTACCTATATTCATGTCAGGTCAACTAAAACAGTTGAATAACATATTAGATATTTGTTTTTATATTCTATATTAGGAAGGATATTATATATATATAATTATAATATCATGATACGAGCTTGAGTCTTAGGATCATGGTTATGGTGCATATATCGCCTAGGATGGATAACTGGATATAGTTGATGTTCCCTAATAGGTCTAGGTATACATGCCCACGTGATGTGTGATTTGCATGTTACCTTCTATTCAGGCTGAGATAGAACTATGGGCTAGCGAGCGTCCTATAGTGTGTACATATATAGACTATTTAGCTATTGTTGAGTTATCTAGTACATATCTGCGTATCGGGTCTCTGCTTGGACTGTGGTAGAGTAGAACTTGTTTGTGGGCCTGACCCATCATCATTTTTCAGGTATTCGTTAAGAGTAGGGGGATTGTTCGTGCTGAGCAG